AGCTTTATTGTTGTACTCTTTCTTTAACATTGCTGTAACTAGTTATGTCTATTCCCAAATATCTAATCCTTGTTGCTTTCTGTTTTATTATGTATTTATTAATTATATTATACTGTATTTCTTGGCGGTTCTATTAAAAATGTGTGTTAATCTTTGGAGCTCGTTTTCTGTCTCAGCGATTATGCGGCGTCGTCTGCATAACATAATATTTGAATAAATTATTTGTTACTCATTCTGTAACCATGTCCTTTACGTATTGCATGTATTATTTCTTCCACTATTATAATAAAGAAAAGTGGGCTTAACGAGTCACCTTGTTTGACTCCTCTTTGCACTAGTATACATTGTGTTAGTTTTTCATTTTTCTTTGGCTGTATTTGACTATAGAAGTATATTTTTTAAACGGTTTGTAAAATATTGATTGGTATGTTTCTTTTATACTGTAGGTAAAGGACGTTTTCGAACTGGAAGCGATCGAAAGCCTTTATCAGGTCTATAAAACATAGATATGCTGGTTTGTTGTACTCGATGACCTTTCCTGTGATTTGTCCCAGTACAAATACGGCATCTACGCAGGAGATGTCTATCTTCCGAATCTGAATTCTTGTTGTTTATATGATAAAGTTGTTATTTTATTGACTTTGTTGGTTAGGACTTTTGTGGTAAGCTATAGTACAGTATTCAGTAGATTTATACCTCTATAATTGCTGGCGTCTTTCTTATCTCCTTTCTTGAACATTCGTATCATTATGCTGTTTCTCTATACGTCTGGTATCTTGCAGTACAATATTAGTTTTCGTATAAGTTTGGTCATATCTAGGGTTATATTTTCTCTTTCGTGTTTTAGAAGCTTGTTGATTATTCCGTCTGGTTCTGGTGACTTTTTATTGTTAAGTGAATTTATGTCTATCTCTACTTCCTGAAAACTGATTTATATTTCGTGTCTTAATTCAGGTACGTTATTGTGTTGATTAATATTTTCCTTTCCTTTAAACAGTTCCGTCAGGTATTTTTTCATTCTTTTGCTCGTATGTTATTGTAATCCTTTAATTCTGTCATTTGTTTTTGGTGGTTTCTTATGAATCTCCATATTTATTTTTATATACCGTAGAAGTCGCTTACCATTCTTTTTGTAAACTGTTCCCAGTGTTCATTTTTTGTTCTTCTTACCAACCGCTTTGTTTCATTTCATATTCTTCTATAGGTGTCTCGGGATTCAGGAGTATTTAATGTTTTGTACTTCGTGTGGGCCTCTCGTTTCTCTTTACATTTCCCTTTTATTTCTTTTTTGAACCACAATGTATTGTTGTTGTTTCTTTTGTTTAGTATGACTTTGCGTTTTCCTATAGCTTCTGTTGCTGATTCTTCAATGTGGTTTTTCATTTTCTCCCAGCTCGCATTTATACCTTTGATGTCGTCTATTTGTTTTAGCTGTATCTTCTGTGCTAACCTCCTATGGTACATTTCTTGTATAAATTCGTTCCATAGTGCTGTACCTTAATAGAAAAAGGGCCAATGTCCATTTTTACCGTTTAGAGAAAATTGGGTGAACAGGTTTAGAGTATGTTGTTTATTCAAATATTAAATCGGTTGATAAAATATTGTGGTGTTTTTTTTTTAATATGTCTTAATATATGCCAAGCTTCATTACACTGAATACTATTTTATTATTTTTCTTTATAACCAGAAAAACATGGACATTGGCCCTGTGCAGATTTTGCCGGAATGGGACATTGGCCCTGCAACAGAGCAGTAAAATAGTGTGATTTAAAAGAAAATTTTTAATTTTTTAACATACATACAAAATAAAAATTAAATTTAACCAAAACAAAACAAATTAAATTAAACAATATCTTAGTCGTTGATGTCTGGAACTGGAATAATGTCAGCATCGATGTCATTTGATTTTTTAAGATTTTGATAAAATGGCCTGTTGTATTCACTAATGTACGGTAGTAAACCTAACAAATCTTTTACTTTAATGTCGGCTAGAGGAAAAGGTTCTGAATTAATGGGTTCTGGTTGCTTAATTTTCATTTCGTTTTTTCGATTTCTAGTAGAACCCTTCCTTAAATCAATATTTTTAAAAGCTTCGTCATCTGCAAAACTTTTTTTGTAAAAGCATTGGTACTCATGTTCTTGAGTATATTTTGACCACTTTATTTGCATCCGTGGTACAGCTTCCAATTATCATTCTTTTTACGATGTACTAATTTTCCTGATAGTACCCTACTAAAATTTAAAAAATCTTTTTGTTCCATCTCTACAACTTGAAGGAGAGGAGTCTTTCGTACACTTTTTATAAAATTGCTTTAATCGTGTGGAACTTCAATTTTAGATGTCTTTTTCTTAGCTGTCTCTATGAACGCATGAATTGTGTCGGCCTTCATATGGGTGTAGCCAGGTTCCATAAATTTATGATGTACTTCTTTCAAACTTTTTCCTATTTTTTTCATCTCACCCATCACTAACAATATCATTGTGGATACAAAAATGTTTCTCTTTTGGCCAGAACAAGAAACACTGTACAAATTAAGCATTTCTACTTCTTTTGGTAGCGACAAAATAAATTTTCTTACACATGAAGCTATTTCTTGCCCACCACGACCAGTCACTGTCTCGTTCCATAGGAAACAAATTTCCACATTGCCCAATGTGGTAGTCTCAAATACTGTTAAGTTGTAGGTCTATAGTTATATATATATATATATATATATATATATATATATATATATATATATATATATATATATATATATATATATATATATATATTACAGAATCCAATTTGTAAATAGAGTACATCTTGGAGACGGCTATCGCCGTATTCCCGTCCTCCTCCGCTAATCCTCTCGGTCCAAGGCATGCTCCTCCTCCAAACCTCTCGATTCCATTGCTCTTCTAATACCTTCATTCCATGAGCGTCGAGGTCTACTTTTTTTTCTTCTACCAGGGGGCTTCCTTTTGTAAAGTTTTTGGGGCCAACGTTCGCCAGGCATTCTTAACAGGTGTCTAAACCATTTTAAACCTCTTCTTTATATTCTGTCTATGACCGTATCAGTAGCATTCATCTGATTTCTTATAGATTCGTTGGTTTTCCTTTCCAGCCTTGATGTTCTAGCACTTCTTCTCAAATAATCCATTTCAACTGCCAACAATCTTCTTTTCAGGTCTGCATTAATTGTACATACTTTAGAGCCATAACAAAGAACTGATTCAACCATCGTTTGCCCTATTATTTTTTTGTTTCTTTTGGAAATGTTGCGATCCCACCATAAGGAGTTCAAACATCCTACAATTTTACGTCCCTGATTAATTCGGTGTTTAATTTCGGTTTCACCCAAGCCGTTCTTATCAATGAATGCACCTAAATATTTAAATTTTTCCACTTGTGTGATTTCCACGTCCTCGTCTATCAACATGTCAAACCTTGCATCTAAATTGATAACTAGATATTCCGTTTTCTTCATGCTGACTTTTTACCCCCATTTTACATATTCTCTGTATAGACGCTTTATCATAAATTCTAGATCATAAGAATCTTGAGCTAGAACGACTTGGTCATCCGCAAAGTTCAGGGAGAACAGTATGTCATTTCCTATTGGGATTCCCATTCCCTGGCAGTAGTTTTTCCAATTTTGAAGGGCTGCCTCAATATATAAATTAAACAGTAAAGGTGACATACTGCATCCTTGTCTCAGTCCTTTAGTTACTTTTATCGGCTCTAATAGTCTATTTCCGATTTTTAGGTAAGTGGTGTTACCCCTGTATACTTCTGTGATTATTCCTAAAAGGTGTGGACTAATGACGAGTTGTTGTAAAGCTTGCCACAATTTAGGCCTTGGTACTGTATCATACGCTTTTTCTAGATCGATGAAGGCTAGATGTACTTCGTTATCAACCGCTATTCTTTTTTCTATTAATTGTTGGAGTATAAACAAGTTATCAGTGCAAGATCTACCAGGCGTAAATCCACTTTGGTCTTCGCTAATTAGATGTCCTACATCATCTTGTAGGTCTTGTAGGTCCATAGTTGCCTTTTATAAAACAAAACACCGTTCCAGAGGTATGGTGTTGGTAGACATGTTTCTAAGTCAAAAGAAGCAACCACAAATGATTGGTCTACTTTGCTTCGTTCTTTGTCTAACGACTTTTGCTTGTAAGCAGTCTCAGCTAAATCTAAATATTTTTCCCTATCCATTAAAAGCTTTCCCTGTTCGTCTTCTTCTTCTTTAGTTATTTGCTTACTTTCCATACTTCTTAGACTTACACTAAACTGGTCACACTCAGCACGAGTGTCATTTGCCGGACTGTGAAAGGAAAGATTAAAGTTTGAATATTTTTCTATACATTGACTCTTTTTCATGGTTTATATTATTGTTTCGGCTATATTCACAAAAAAGACGATATATTTCTGCCACTAAAAGATCGGGACTTAGGTATTTTTTGGAAGTAAGTTCCCGGGAATAGTGGCTATTATAAGCCGGAAAACAATTAATATGCTTCCTAATCACATCTTTTCTATCTTCCTGGATTTTAGAATGTTTGAAATGCTTTCCTCTCCCAACCATCGGGCAGATATCAGATTGACTAGCTCTTTTTTTCTCGACAATTATCCTTACTTTTTTTAAAGTTAAATCAAACGTTTGAAGATACGACGCTTGACATATTTCAATAGACTGGTTTTCATCAGTAGTTAAAAAATAATTTCTAGTAAATTTCCTCCGGCTAATACCGTCCGCCTTTTCACATTCCTTTCTTATTCTTGTTCTTTGTTTTGTCGTTTCTTTGACGGTCTCTGCTATATACTGATCTTGTCCATCTTTTGATAAATTATAAAAACCTTCAAACAATATTTTTCTTTGTTCTTCAGTGAATTTTTGATAACATTTTTTCCGGCAATCACATGGACGTTTCATTTGCTTTTCCTTTTTAATCACTTCTTTTTTAGAGACATACTCTTTATTTTTCTCTTTCAGTTCTCTTCTTTTATTTTCCTTTCAGGATTTGTTATTCCTTATTCGCTTCCTTGTCCTATATTTTCCAGGTGTGTTTTCATTTTTATCTTGTAACATTTCATTATCAATATTATCATCAACGTTGCCAATTTCATTTTCTATCTTAAAATTGTAAAATGAATCTAAAAGATATCAATAATAATAAATATTTACCTTAAACTCTGCTGTAAGCGGGTATTCTCCTCTATCTAAAATCTCCGATGACGTATAATCAGGGTCTTGAAGTGAATCATCATCACTCTCAGGAACATGCTCTATTTCTTCTAGGCCACAATGTGTCTGAAAAAATCAACAGAACTAATGTATAGTTTTTCATGGCAAGTTTTCGTCAGTAGGTAAATAATAATATGCTTACCAACAAAAGTTTTATGAAGTAAATTATTACCTCTAAGGGAATTTCCTTTAGGGTTGTTAATTCTTTAGAACTTTGCTCCCCAAAGAATTCTTCCTTGTTAGAAAATACCTAAAACGTGAATCGTGAATTATCCACAGAAAATAGAAAACAAAATTGATGAGAAACAACTAAGAAGGTACACAAGTACTTTATTTACTTACCCATTTACTATGAGTTAAAGGACGTAATGGTATTATATTAGTACTGACGGTATAATCTAAGTCAGGGGGAAACCCACTTGTGGACGTTAATTTACTTCTACTAGCACCTTCGGCTTCGCCAGCTAAAATAAATCAAATATAATATTTTTTTATTTTTAGAAATGATAGTAATAACTTACCATTTTTAGAAAATAATGTACAGTTTTCTAATATTTTTAGAGTTCTTTTACTCATATTGTACAATAATATCTTAGTAAGCATTGCAAAACATCACACCACAGCCTGGTAAATTTTTTGAGGTTAGAAAATCATATGTCACAATGTCTTAGTTAGGGCGTGGTTAGGGCCAATGTCCACGAAAGAAATGAGAACACGGCCAATGTCCAGGAAGCTGGACATTGGCCTTTAGGTTAAACTAATAACTAAAGGGCCAAACTCCAGTGAGATGTACATTGGCCTTTTTTCATTTTAACGGAAATAGACTTTGGCGAAATTTAGATAAACATAACTTGAAAGCTATATTTATTTGGACATTGGCTTTTTTTCTGATAAATGTATGCAATTGGCCTATTTTAGAAGTGATGTTAACTCATTATAGCACATTTTGGACATTGGCCCTTTTTCTACCAAGGTACAGAGTGATTCTAGTGTTTTGGTGTTACTTTCATTCTTATTGTTGCTAGTACTAGTTTGTGTTTACTCCCAGCGATCCCAACGTAAGGTTCCGATATCTAGAATTTGCTTCGGGTGGATTTTTCTATTAGTGAATATAAAGTCAATCAAAAATTTGTGCTCACTGAAGTTTTCAAATATATATTTATACTGGACCTTATGGCCGAACATGTAATATTGATTCTCAGTTCGTTAAAATACAGAGATTAGCCATTCGTTTTCCATTTGTGTTGTCAGGGTTTTTGTTAAATTTTTAATTTACTCCTGGAACTTTTTCTTTGCCGATTCGTGCATTTGAGTTACCGATAAGAATTAAGGGTTCTTTACGAAGTATTTCATTCAGGATGGTTTGCAATTTTTTGTAGAATGCCTCTCGTTTCTTTTTAGGTTTACATTTCTCGGGGCTATAGATAGATATGACATTAAAGTTTTTGTAGTCTGCTCGTGCTCGTTTATCTCTCTTTACTCCACTATACGTCTCCTTCTTCTTAATGTGCCCTATCAAGTCCCCTTGATAGGGCACATTAATCAGTTTTTCTATTATTTCTTGGTGCTTGTTGTTGGAAAAAGTAATGTTTCGTTTGCGAAGTATATCATCTTAAGATTCGTCCGGTTCTGAGGCTTTATATCGGTTTTTAGAGCCTTCTTTTCTTTTACAATAAGTAGGATGCTAACCTGGCAGATCTTCCCTACTTTTTTATCCGAGCTTGGGACCGGCTCTAGACATGAACGCGATTTCTGAGCTACTCAATCTTTCCAGTCCTCGCGCTCATAACCCCCAGGCAGAGTTATTTTTAAGTCTATTTAACATAATATTTTTAATTACTATTTAACTGGGAATAAGCCTTAAATTTATATTTAAATAGCTTTAGAACAATAATATTTTTATATATTTTCTTAACACGGTTGAGTGGGGCAATACCTCTTTAGTTAGTTGGATAATCTACATCTAATGCCGTTTTTAAATGTCATGGTAAAAAGACTTTGCTTTCATCAAAATCATAAGGAATATGGTCAGTTACAGGCAATTTACGATCGGGAGAGCTTTTCAAAACTCTATACATTTTGTCACTGGTTATAATAGCGTCAAAAATAGAAATGGGATGTCTTGTATAAAAAACTTATTATGCTATTATTCTGGTGGATAGATATTCGTATACAAATGTTCACATACGTATGTATGAAGAAAAGAAATATTGTCCTTTTCCCGAAATTTCTTAATCAATGACAAAAATGTTTTAAGGCCCTGTTGTTTGCAAGTTTTACTTTTAATTACTTGTCTATAGGTTTTTTTGATGTTTTAAAATTTAAAATGAAAAATAATACTCGTCTTGCTTAACCTAAACAATACTATAAAATTATATATACCCCACAGTAGATGGGACACATAAATCAATCTTCATTGTTTGTATAATTAGTCATGAATTGATTGAAATTATATACTATATGTTAAATTCTAATAAATGCGAATTAATTTGTGATGGAATCAACATAACATTTTAGATACAAATATCCAGCAAATTAGTTTATTAATATACATATGTATGCAGGGCGGTATTTGCACGGGTTTATGGAAACAATTTTTCATCAAATGAATAATTAAATATTTCACATATGACAAAATGTCCAATAAAAAGTAAAAATAGTGGTTTAATTAAAGCAAAACAAAAAGAAATTTTTGTATAGGATTAAAAACGACAATAGTAAATAAATTAAAAAATATGCAATCTTGTAAAAATAACAATCATGAGATACTCAATACCTAATAAATCAGAGATTTAATAAATAACACAAGACTTTTTAGCCAAAATTCTTTCTTATTTATCAAATTTTTTTCCTGCTATAGTGATCTCTTTTAATCTTACATTTTATTATATGCGTAAGAGGTACAGGTTGTAACCTTTGAACCACACACTAGAAATTGAGGGTGTCAATGGGTTCTAACAATGTAATTACCTACGAAAGCTGGGAGCCGATGTAGAACAATAAAATTCACAATTTTTTTTTTTTGGGAGCCAATTATTAGGTCTCATTTAGCTCAGTCTATCAGATGTGAGAACGTCTTATCTAAGAAGTAAAGATGAAAAATGAGTTTGGCTGGGACAAATAAACCAATATATTAACTAATCATATTTTGTAAATAGATCGGTTTAAAACGTTCTCCTACGTCTCATTCCAGTGGCCACTCCTATCGATTCATCCATAAGTATTTTTCTATGTATCTGTCTCTTATTTCTCTATTAATGCCTTCTCTCCAACTAAGGCGGGGTCTTTCTCTTTTTTTTTTCTACTATGAGGGGTCCACATTAGGACTTGTTATGGGACACGTTCTTTAGACATTCTTTGTACATGAACACACAATCTGAGCTGTTGGGTACAAATATCGTCTACTATTGTATATTTTACTTTCATAATTTTTATTATTCCGTTGTTTGTTACTCTTTCTAGTCTAGATCTTCCCGTTGAACGTCTCCAGAAATCCATTTCCCTTGCCTCAAGTTTTTTTTTTGTATTTTTCTTTTATTTGCCATACAGTACTACTGAAAGTAATTATATTTTTAATGAGTGTATTATATATCTTATGCTTGTTATTATTAGAGATTGATTGCATTCTTTTGTGATGATCATACCTAAATATTTATATGTGTTGCAATGTTTGATAACTTCTCCATCTTCCAATATGAGCTCCTGTTGTTTCCCGCCGATACACATATACTCGGTTTTTTGGATATTGATTTCAAGTCCCCGTTTTTTATACTCTTTGAATAATTTTCGAGTCATATATTCAATATCTTCATAATCTTGTGACATCACTAGTTGGTCATCTGCAAACGACATCTGCTGTTGTTGTTAATCGTCATTCCCATATATCTACATTTGCGTTTCCACAGTTTTAGAGCCTGTTCTAGATAAATTTTAAGTAATGTCGGGAAGAGACAACAGCTCTGCTTAATGCCTTTATTCATTTTAAATCCACGGGACAGATTATTTTCAGTCGGTTATTTAGTAAATCAATATAAGGTTGAATGTTCGAATAATTAAACTTTGAGGGTGTACAAGGCAACTATCGAACACGGTGATTAATTTAATCTTGCCCAAGTACTTTCGATCAATAGATCATCTTCAGGGGCATCTGAAATAAGCCAAGAAACGTTTTTTATAAAAAGGAAAATTAATTCACTTGGATAAAAAACTCCAAATTTATGGTTGAAAAAAATTTTTATATGTGATAAACGTTTATAGACTTACTTCGTCAATTGTGGCCTATCCGACATAGTAGAATGTCATAAATGTAAAATCTGGACATAACAATACAAAATACACTACACTAAGACAAACAAACACTTTAAAATTTATATGGAGAAGCTACATATTGTGAAGAAGCCGGAGACAGAATGGGCTCCCGGTCTGACGGAAATGTAGAGATGACATGTGACAAATGACAGCTTATGAAGGGCAGTTATGTGATCTGCACCTTTCAAAATTCTATGACACTAAGTATTGACCAAAGGTCCAACTGACACCACTATAGGAAATCGACTGATGAAATATAAAATTATATAGTATATTTTTTATGTAGATTGAATATTTCCAATCTCACACTCAAACCTGTCTATAATAATTAGGATGTTGGTTTGAGAGCAATTGAAGTTGACATAAAGTATGAATGTGAGAAAAGACTAACAGTATATTAGACAGTGGATGGTTGACTACAATAAAATGGTCCACCAAGCGCTATCAGTACTGTAAAAAAGAAAAATCTGAATATGCAGTTAAATTACTAAAAGTTAAAATCAAAATTGAAGACAAAATATATAAATGTGTTATAGTCCACGTAGTTCAGTTGAATCCACAGTCAATGGAAGAACTTTAAAATTAATATTGAAATATTCAGTGCATGAAGTCTAAACAGTCGAGCTGGGTCCTCTACGAGGTGAAGCTGTAATAAAGTTTTTAAATATAGGATTAAATTTAGTACAATTTAAATTAATTTGAGTATTAAGACAGTGAGAGTTTTCATTTGTTTCCCTTGTGTTTCTCCAAATCTTCCAATAAATCCAACTCAAGATAGTTTTTCTTTCTGCTAATGTCATGTACGATAGATGAACCAGAATTGATGTTAAAATTGTGGTTGCTGGATACTAAGTGTTGACCAAAACTTGAAGAATTTGGTCTTTTCAAATGTTCAGAGACTCTAGTGGATAACTTTCTGATGGTTCTACCTACATAAGATGCATCACAATCATCACATTTTAATTTGTAAATACCACTTTTATCAAGTGTATTCATCCTATCTTTGGTATTGATTAAGAAGGAACCTAAAGTGTTCTGTGATTTAAAGGAAATTTTGATGGTATCAATTGTAGAAGAAAAAAGTTTAGATATTTTATTGGAAATGCTACTAATATAAGTGAAGGAGAAATATCTGATGTTATCTGAACCATTCGGTTGGGAAAACTGTGAAGAATATGCAAGCTTTTCTGCAATTTTTAGTTTAGCTCTATTTAGAAGTTTGTATATAATGTTGGGATCATAGCCATTATTGAAAGCAATCTATGAAT